CATTTTCTTTTTGTCTGTTTCTGTGATGCAGTCGTTGCCTGTCCCAGGATGATTTTCTCCTATGGGAGACAACAACGGAATAATATCTTAAACGTAAATATAAAGCGATTAGCCACAAGATTAAAAACACTGGCACAGATTATCTCCTTGATAATTTAGGACACCTTGGTTCCTGAGATTCACTTTATTATTGCTTTGATAAGTACCACCCAAATAATCGTTGTCTCACACCCATTTCCCACCACCACATTTCCACAGCTCACAACAAGAACTGTTTAGAAATGGCTGGAGGAACATAATAAAGAGCCCACGGTATTGACCAGCTCCCAAGCTCCCCAAATCCCAATCCGATCAAGCAGCTGCAGGATGCATTGGAATAAGTCCCAACCACTGAGGTCGACCAGCCCAGAGGGCTTGAAAGTTCTGCTGCTCGTATCCCAGTGCCACACGCTGTAGGACACCGTCAGAGGTCACATATCCATCTCATTCAGAAAGAGGCAAGTAAATTTAATGCTGTGGCTCATCGCTATAGATGTGCCTGTCAGTTTTGCATAGGGTTCAAACACTTTAAGTAATAAGGTCTTAAAATGTCAACGGTTAAACATGATTCATCTGTGTAAGAGCAGACAGCTTTTAAATCTGTGTTGTGACACGGAAAACTACAAAGCATTAACAAAATTGAGCTGTGTTTCAGTTTTATACCGTCCAGCAGGTCCCGGATTTTATCCATGTAGATCTCAAAGTAGGAGACCTGCAGCAAAGACAAAAAAACATTTGATAGCAAATATTTTATCAGGGATACAGAAAGAGAATTCAATGCAGATAAATGAGGAGGATGATAGGTGCTCACTGTACAAATACAAAATGCTGCAATAATCTGCTGTGGCTGTGATGAGGTATTATCCTCTATTATAAGACTGTGATGTAAAAGGGAAAATGCTGTGGGATGATCATGGTTTATTTATCATGATTTATTGATGCTTGGCTGATTCCACTCAACCCATCCATGTGAGGATTACATCAGAGCTTCAAGTTGTATTTCTACTGAATATATTCCATCTAAAAGCAAACGTAAGGTAAAAATGCAAACTTGAACACACAAACGTCAGAATCCACACCAACCTTTATGTGGAATTCAAGATTCTCATCCATGGCAAATATATGTTCAAAAATGTCCTCAGCAATCCGCGGTATTATCCCCATTCCCTGGGGATCGTGAAGGTTCCCCTAAAGGAGGATTGAAATGAGACGGAGACATGTAAGTGAAGAGCAGGATAAATGCAGACCCTGGGACGAATAAAGTCGATAGAACAGTAAAAGAAAGGAGAGCAGCGAGGCTTTTGACTTGAAAGCGAACAGGGTTGTTTCCCACAGAGAGTTGTAAAGAAGGTTAGTTTCCACATGAGGCTGAGAAAGAAAGATAGAGAATGATGACCATGACGGAGGCAGACATAAAGTCAGGACAGGCAGAGGAGCAGATGGCGTTTAAAAAGGAGGAAAATGCGTGTATCTCTGTGCTCGCACGTGCCACGTTGAGAGGGCTACCTTTTGAATTTTTTAGCAGCACTGTACCTCCATGGTGTGTGTCTTTCCTGAGGAAGTCTGCCCATAGGCAAAGATAGTCCCATTGTATCCTCCCAGTACATCTGAAGCGAGGAAGAAGAAACAAAAGCACGTTAGAGAAGAAAGCAAGGGGGGG